CTATCGCGTTCGAAGGTTCTGCCTCCTCGGTGGATGAATGTTGCATTTCGTGTGTTTCTATCAATGCTCTTGCAACTTGAAGCAAATATTTTTTATATGTTACTTTATTATTATTTAGTGTTTTTTTTACGAGAAATGAATTAAAAAGAGCAGCATTCAAAAAGTAAAGCACTGCTTTTTTTGTCCATTTCGTGGTTTTTCGAAGAATATTATAGTAAGACATATATTGGTCTGCACGATCAACCCCTTTCATATATTTGTTGTATTCCACAACAGATTTGGGTTTTGTTTTCGTTCCTGACCAATGTGACACGTTTACCATTTCTGCTGAGTGAATGGTTGAAATGGTTCTTACTAGTCGGTTTTTCTTTGCTTGCCACAGGTGTAAAAGAACTTGTCCCTTTCTCGCAAATTTCGTTTCATGTTCATTTAATCTAATGTTCTTTAAATTCTGCGGCAATCCTCTATTTGACCTTATTGTTCCACAAATTCTCGTAGAATTCTGTAGCAGTAATTCGGCTGTATTGACGCTATTATAATAATTATCCATGTAAATGTGATGATGGAATCCCATATAAGGACGTAGAATTGATAAAACTGTATCTTGTAATCTTCCTGCTGTGCCTGAATATACTTTGAAGTTGCAAATATATCCTGATGTTGCTTCGCAGAGCATCCTCACTAAAATTCCGTATTTTACAAGTTTTGCGGGATTATAGGTGCGAAAAGATAATCTGCCTCGCCACGGTATTATGCCTTCATCCAGTGACAATTCTTGCTTTGGCGTATATACAGTTTGGAATTTGTTTTGTACATAATTTAAAACTTCTCTAATTTTGAATAATTTGTCGGTCTTGTCATACAATAGATCATTATTGCAAAAATGCCACATTCTCCATATTTGCATAAATCTATTGCGACTCATTATTTTTGGAAAAATTGGGGTTTCTATATATGAAAGAGTTGACCAATAGTCATATATATCATCTTTACGTGTTTGTCCCATCAAGATAATTAAACCCAGAAATTTTTTCATTTCTGTCACTGTGACATCAACCCATCTCAGTGTTTTATATTCTTTATACCTGTTTACAACTTGAGAGTGATATCTATTTGTTTCTGTAACAAATAATTCAAATAAATCATTACCCAGAAACAACTGCACTATTTCCCATACGTTTTCTTGATCTTGAGGTAGCGTGTTCACGCTTGAAGTTCGACCATATGCTTCTAGCTGAAGTTCTATATCATTCTGTGACCAATCATCGTCATCATTGACAATACTGTCTTCATCCGTGTCAGGAACTCACAGCATCATCTTCCGCTTCGCTCAGAAGTATTCGACGATTATTTTGACGTATGGGACGAACAATACTATCATTTTCGCTAGATTCATAATCGCTTATCTGCACATCGTTGCCTTCAGAACAGTCTGACAGCGCGTCCATGAACAACTCATCATTAAAATTTTCATTGTTATTTCTCCACATTTTTAACGGTATTTTTTTATATCCTACACTTTATTTTTTAAATTTATAACTTTAACACCATTAAATTGATGGATTTTATTATATACTGTGCTTTATACGGACAACAATATACATATAACAATTCGAGATCAAGCGAACAACTCCAACGTAACTATGTAGATAAATAAACAAAAACAAAAAAAAGCGTTGCTAAGGTCAATATGGGAGATCTCCCCGATCGGTTGAGCACCGATCTACATTGAAACGGAGAGATCTCCCCGATCGGTCGTGCAGCGACCTACATTGAAACGGGGAAATCTCCCCGATCGGTCGTGCAGCGACTTACATTGAAACGGGGAGATCTCCCCGATCGGTCGTGCAGCGACTTACATTGAAACGGGGAGATCTCCCCGATCGGTCGGCTAAGTGTTAAAAGTTCACATAAAAACACTTGGCATGCCTAGGTTCAATAAATAATGTAACTCAGTAAAGAGTAATTCAGTAATGTAACTTAGTATGTTAGGGGGCACGCTAAATGTTTTTGTGCGAATTTTTAATAATAGCATTTAATACTATATAATTATATTTTTTATTTGGCCTAATTACATGATATCATTTCTTTTGTAGAAAATAAAGGTTTACATATTAATATTTTATTCTAACGTTTTTTTTAGAATTTTTATATTTTTTAAATAAAATATTTTTTTTATAAAAACATTTACTTTTGTACAATTCCATTTTATTTTTATTTTATTTTTACTTGGTCTAACTTCATGAAATCACTTGTTTTCTAGAAAATAGAAATTTATATATTAATACTTAATGTTTACATATTAATACTTAATGTTAACGTTCTTAAATTTATTTTATAAATAAAATATATTTTATAAATGTTTTTTATAGAGGCATTAGATTTTGTACAATTATATTCGTACATATAAGCGCGTGAACTTGGCATCTTTTTTTTATTTTCCTTTTTATACTATACATTAAAATGTGGTAAACACTACACGTATATGCGCGGAGGAGGGGCGGAGCCCCTCTCCCCGCATCCCCTCCCCAACAAAACCTAATTTAACTTAACCAAACCTATCTAATGAAATATTCTAAATTGTACATTATAGGTTAATAAATTTCTCGATCCGCATTATATTAGTTACAAAGGCGACAGAGAACCTTTTCTCAAACCTAAATATTCGATAATACCAATTGAAATATAAGTTGCAACCGTCGACATAGAACGGCCTGCTGATTATAGTAGTGGGCAAATGGCGATAGAAAAGCGACACAACATAAGATAATGCAACATAAGAAGACAAATTCTGACGCTGTATCATCATGACTAGGGCTCTATTACGATACAGGTTGCGTGAAAAGTTCGCGGAATGGCATCTATAAGTAAACGGTAGAATTATAAATTGTAGTCGGTTATATAGAATCACTCTTCACATGAACCTAGATTAGGTTTCATTTCCATCTGTCAATTCTTTCTGTGTTTACAAGCCAATTAAAGTTGACGTGTCAGTATATTTGTTTGCAATGGAAAATTTGAAACAGCGTGCAGTGATTGAGTTTTTTTGTTAAAAAAGGTTTAAAGGCAATGGAAATTCATTCCGAGATGGTAAATGTGTTAGGGGAATCTGCTCCTTCAAAAACAATGGTTTGTAAATGGGCACATGAGTTTCAACGTGGTCGTACAAGCATTGAAGATGATCCACGCAGTGGACGTCCAAAAAGCGCATCAACACCAGAGATCATTGAGCAAATACATGTTATTGTTTCTGAAGATCCAAGTGTGACTACGCGTGAAATTGCTCATACCATAGGCATTTCAGATGAACGGGTACGGCATATTTTGCATAAAGAATTACAAATGAAAAAGGTGTTTGGAAAAGTGGTGCCGCATACGTTAACAATCCAACAAAAATTCGCTCGAAAGCAAATTTCTCGGCGTTATTTGGACCGTTTTAAGAAGAATAAAACCGATTTTGTGCGTCGTTTTATAACTATGGATAAGACTTGGATCTATTACCATGATCCTAAATTGAAACAGGAACGTTTACAATGGACTGAAGCTGGATGTTCAGCTGCAAAGCAAACAAAGCATAAAAGATAGGCAAAAAATGTTTTGGCATCAGTTTTTTGGGATGCTAAAGGGATTTTGTTAATTGACTATCTGGAAAAAGATAAAACAATTAACTCTGAATATTGTTGTAACCTTTTGGATCAATTGGACGCATAAATTCGTGAGAAAAGACCTGGTTTGCAGCACAAACAAATCATTTTTCACCAAGACAACGCACCTGCTCACACAAGTGTTTTGTCAATGTCTAAATTCAATGAATTGAAGTACAAATTGCTTGATCATCCACCGTATTCGCCAGATTTGGCACCCAGCGACTTCTATCTGTTCCGAAACCTGAAACAATTCCTCCGTGGAAAGCATTTTTTGTCGAATGAAGAAGCTATAGCAGCCGTAGAGGAAGGCTTAGCACGAGAGGTGGGTGGGTGTCCCCCCTCTTCTTAATTGAACCGGAAGGCCAACCCGGCCGGGACTCCGGCCGGGGCACCGCGTCTCTCAACTCCCCTCGGGGAAGAGGCGCGGTACTTGGGCGTGGGGCTCCATTGGAGCCCAGGGGCCGGGTGTCGGGGAGGGAGTGCCGGCGCAATTCCCCCGACTCCCCACATTCCGGCCCGAATGGTAGACACCCCGGTGAGGTTTTAGCCGATAAGAGTTTGACATAACCCCTGCCCCCCCCCCCCAAGGAGCGGGAGTATCCATGAGGATTTCTCCACCGTGATCAAAAAAAAAAAAAGCAGCCGTAGAGGCATATTTCGCAGACCTTCCAGAAACACACTTTCGCCATGGAATAAAATTATTGGAGAGCCATTGGGCCAAGTGTATTGAAGTTAATGGAGACTATATTGAAGAATAAAATCATTTTTAGAATTTGGTATTCTTTATTTCAATTTCTCTCCGCGAACTTTTCATGCAACCGGTATGTTACACTTTTGTTTAGAAAAGTAACGGAACATGTCCTCATACTGTCTGCATGTCACACTAATTATCTTTTTATTTCTATCATTGCAATCAGCAATCTATTTTATGTATCGATGGTTGCAATGAATGAAACCTTGACAACTTAATGTTCAGTTGATATGACCGAATATACTCTTGGGACGACAGAAATTTCCTAATGAAATTTTTCTAATGTCACTAATGTTTTCTAATGTTACTCAGGAATCAACTAAATTTTTAGTTGATTCCTAAGTAACCGAAAGTTCTGGTCATTGCGGAATCAAGTTATGCCAATTGAATAGTCTTCTATGTATATTTCTCATACTTTGGACATGATACTCTTTGATACATGCGTTGGAGCAGGAAAATATACTTTATAAAACTGGTTTTGCCCATGAATAGGCTCACGTTACATCAAAGACTATAAAAACGCAATGTAATTGCGTGACGAGGAAACAAGAACCCATTATATATAGCATGCGTGTGAAATATCTCACAATACGTGTTAATTTGTCGGGACGGTAAGACGTGTCGGGAAGATTCAAACTTGTATTAAATTCTCGTAAGTGAAATACAGATTAACGTGTTAAAATTGTGCTTAAAGGATTTTACGAAATTCAACAAGAATAAGTTATCACTATAATAAAACAGTTGCTAAAAAGTATTTGACTTCCTAACTTTAATTTCTTGGCTTTCAGGTTGTAGAAAATATCTTGATTATTAAACGACATAATGAAAGTGTCCTTCCATATTTTCTTAATAAATATGCTGATAACATTCAGCCTAATATTATCACTTGGAATGTCAAAAAGTGTCCGTCCAACAAGACAGCTTTCGTCTACGATCGACATAGGAATGTCAGAAAGAGTATTTTCAACAACACAACTTGCGTCTACGACTGACATACCTTTATTTTTTAGACGTGCACGTATTGGTATTATTATAAATCCTCCGAAACATGATGTTACCCACCAGGGGAACTAAAAGACTCACACGGAATATGTTGCGAGAAATAGCATTAAAGACAAACAAGTAATTATCAATTAAAAATTTGATACCTTTAATTACAACAAAAGGAATGATACAGGATCGTCTACGTAAAGTGTGACAACCCAAAAACTTTAAAAATATTTATCGTATCAAAAAATTGTTCATGACAAAATTTTATATACTCGAGAGGTTTTTCTAACTATAAATAAAAGTCCGCTCCGGCTCTCCTCTGAAAAGGGGTGGGAAGTAGTGGTGGGGGGCGGAAAGAAATAAGTAAACTTTATTTGGAGCATATTTCAAAGTAACCTGCTGCAAGTTTTAAATGTTAAATGTATACTGTGTCGAAAATTACATTCGATTAATAAAACTTCTTTTGTTAATAACTTTTTAATAAACGATGACTGCCAACTAAAACTTTTTGCAAGTTACTCAGGGACATGTCCTTGACAACATATATGAAGTTCAAGGTTATCGGCGAGGTAACCATTAAATATCTTATTCAACGTTATCGGAATTAGTTTTAAAGGTCATCAAACCGATTTACGAAAACTTATCTAAGGACGCGTTATTGGAGTGCTGCGTTGATAGCTACATGTAAAATAGTAACGCTTGAAGAATTAAGAGCTTGAATAATTTAATTTGTAAAGTAGCTCCAAAAGCAATGCACGGCGGAACTAGTATTGTCGAAATTGTTGCGTAACAACTACTTGCATGTTTAATAATGGTGCAACTTCATTATTACAAATAATATATTACAATAATATATAATGGGTGTAACTGTCGGGCCAAATGTACATTAATATACTGTACGGGAGGACGGCCACCGCATCGCGCAAGCAGAGAGGTGCGCGCGCTTGAAATTACTAAAGAAACAAAAATACGTCGTCGCTAGCGAATGTGGAAGATCTGACTATACCATTGGTCGCGGAAGATCTGTATTATGGTATGGTATCGACGATTCAATATAAATTTAACAAAGAGCATAGCAGGATAAGTATGTACGAGGGCGGTCCGATAAGTACTTAGCCTCACCGCCCGATGGCGCCATTATCGCAAGAGAAATTTACTATCGTGTAATACATTCTCGTAGACGGCTACTGTCGAAATTTCAGCCGAATCGGACTCGTAGTTTTGTTTTGACCGCGTGTGGAAGCGGGCGTGTCCGCGGATTTTAGAAAAATGGAAAAAGAGCAATATCGGTCGGTAATTCGATTCTTGTTTTTGGAAGGGAAATCGCGCAGCGAAATCAAAGAGCGCTTGGATGCTGTGTACGGTGACTCTTCTCCTTCGATGGCGACCATCAAAAATTGGTTTAACGAGTTTCAACGTGGTCGCACGTCGGTTTTTGATGAGCCACGCCCAGGTGCCCCGAAAACGGCTACCACGGAGGATAACATGACAAAAATCCACGATCTCATATTGGCAGACCGCCGATTGAAGGTGCGCGAGATAGTTGAGACAGTAGGCATCTCAAAAGACCGCGTGGGTCATATCCTGCATGAAATTTTGGGCATGAGAAAGCTGTCGGCGCGATGGGTGCCGCGTTTGCTCACTCCGGACAACAAGCGCAACCGTGAGACCACTTCAGAGCAGTGTTTGACGCTGTTTAAGCGCAATCCGAAGGAGTTTCTGCGTCGTTTCGTGACCGTCGACGAAAACATGGATCCACTGGTACACACCAGAGACCAAGGAACAGTCGAAACAGTGGACTTCACCCGGCGAACGTGCTCCGAAGAAGGCGAAGACTGTCCTATCGGTCGGAAAGGTGATGGCCACCATTTTCTGGGATTCACAAGGTGTGATCTACATCGACTACCTGGAGAAGGGCAAAACGGTCACAGGGCTGTACTATGCCGAATTATTGGGCCGATTCGACGCCGAATTGCAGAAAAAACGGCCCCATTTGGCGAAGAAAAAGTGCTCTTCCACCATGACAACGCACCGGCTCACACCTCCGCCCTCGCCACGGTCAAATTGGTCGAATTGGGCTACGAACTGCTGCCCCATCCACCGTATTCTCCAGATTTGGATCACGTGCGACTTCTTTTTGTTTCCAAACTTGAAAAAGTCACTCGCCGGGCAGAAATTTGAGTCGAATGAGGAGGTCATCGCCGCCACGGAGGCCTACTTTGCAGACCTCGAGAAAACGTATTTTTCAGACGGGTTAAGAAGTTGGAGCATCGCTGGGTCAAGTGTATCGAGCTAAAAGGAGACTATGTTGAGAAATAAATCGCCACTTTTCCAAAATTTTCGTTTTTATTTTGTAGGCTAAGTACTTATCGGACCACCCTCGTATGTGCTGCCCCCGCTTGGATCTAGTTGAGATTTTTACAATAAGTTGACATTGATGTAAGATTATATTTCCCAAGAGATTATATTAAAAAAAAATTTTTTTATGGGGATTATGGAGGTAGAAAGAAAAGTCGATAAAATTTTTTTTCTCGAGAACGGCTGAACCGATTTTGATGAAAAAAATATATGTTATTGGTTTCAATGCCACAATATTATAACAAAATTATAGAATTTTTTTTCAAAAAATATAGTTTAAAAAAAATTTTCAAAACATTTTGAATTTCCTTTTATGTTATGCACTTGAAATACTATCACCATTTTCTCCGTAAAAAATCTTTAGATATTCTAGAATAACATGTCTGAGTTTCAAAACGATCGGAAGGGTAGTACATAGTTTTAAAATGTGAAGATTTTGAGTGCGTCACGTACGGCGTATGGCGCGCTGTACAGTCCTTTGTTCTGTATGCAATAGCATCTTATGATTCATTGTGTGACTAGGAATAGTTAAATAACTGGCCAAATTTTTTTTTAAAAGACTTAAAATACAAAATATTATGTTTAATATAACGGCAATAATTGTTTGAAGAATTGAAAAGTTGAAGAGAATTGTTTGCAGAATCGTATAATATATCTGGCCAAGCCATTTATTCTAAATCTGGCCAAATCTCTAAACCTCCTCACAATTTACAAACTGAAAACGGACAAATTAAAAATAAATCTATACAATTTTCCATTCAAACACCTGCGATCAGCCTACAATAAGTGTAGTTTCTAAGGTCTGCTACGTGGAGGTTGCAGTACGTTTTTAGCCTCTTTATTATGAGATGCGTGAGTCTCCTCGCCTTTCACAAATCGGGGTGTTTTTTTAATGTGAGTCGAGCATCGATTTGCTGCTGGTATGTATATTGTCATCTTAATATAAGATTGCATACGAACTTCTTCTGGAATAACTGTACACACATACATACAAGGTCATCGAAAAATATCGGACCCCCCTAATATCTTCAGTTAGAATGCATTTTAGAGAAAATGTTCAATAGCAAAGTTGTATGGTTTTAAGCGGGGAGTAAGATGATGACCTTGACTTTGACCTTAACCATGTCCTTCAAGGTCATTTCAAGGTCAACCTTATTTTTTTAAATAGAACCTCCAACATTTTGTTGCATATTCTTATAGCTTATCTTGAGAGCTTTCTAAAACACTATAATGAAACATTTTTCCATTAAGTACTTTTTGAGTTATAAAGGTTTGAAGTTAATAATTTTTTGACACAAAATGTAAAATATCTTGTAAAATATTATTTAGTTTTCAGTAATCATAACCTTAATACTTTTGTGCGCGAAATAATGAGACCAATTAATTGGTTTAAAGAAAATACATTAATCGAAAAGTATCGGCTCCCCCTAATATTTTCAGTAAGAATGCATTTTGGAAAAATGTCCAATAGCAAAGTTGTACAGCTTCAAGCGGTTATGCTAGTAGGCTATGGTGGAAAACTGCCCGAAAGTGATCGCGAGAAGCTGCTCAAATGCGTGATGTCCGAAGGCGTTAGTAGGAATCTGCCCGAAAGCGTTGGCGGGGCCGATCTTTATTGTCTCACTCTCGCAGGCACCAATAGTAATACAAGCTCTTGAGCAAACAATACGGATCACTGATTTGAATCTTTGATGCTGTGCTGTCTTCTTCTTAGCGAGCAGCAGTCACCTCGTGGATGAAAACGAACAGCCCCAAAAATTGTTCCTGTAACAAAAGAAGCCATTGCGTTCAATTGATTGTCCCAAACATTGCATTCAATTGATTGTCCCAAACATCTTCATTTTGTTTCCAATAGCCCAGAATTTTTTTGTAAATATTATTAATTGATCTATTAGATTTTCAGTTGCTCAACGAGCTTTTTGCTAGTGCTGGTTGAAATAAACAAATCGATAGTTGGACCAACACTTAATAATTAGTATTTTTCTCTACTTAATTATTTAGATCAATTTCCTATCACTTACCTGATTAATTCTTCTTTGCTCTAATTAAGAATGGCGGAGCTTTCTGAAAGAGATCGAATAACACTGTTAATGATGTGAGGATGGGGAGATCAACAAAGAGGGTATAAAACAGTAACGCGATTATTTAATGAAAATTTTCGGAATGAAAATAATAGGATCTCCAAAAGTACTGTAATCCGTACTATGCAACGTTTCGAGGACATTGGTAGCGTTAAAAGCCGCCCAAGATCTGGTAGACGTAAAACAGCAACAAATAATGATAAGGCATTAGATGTTTTACAGTCTTTCGTTGAAAGTCCCCACATTTCCATCAATCGCGTTGCACAAGAACACGAAATCGGTCATGCATCTGTCAGTAAAATTCTGAAATTGAATAAATGGCATCCATACAAACTCCACTTGGTCCAAGAGTTGTCCGAAGACGATTTTGATAGACGCATCGAATTTTGTGATTTTATGATGGAGATGATTGTCGACGATCCTCTATTACTTAATAAGATTGTTTTCTCTAATGAGGCAACATTTGAACTGACTGGAAATGTAAATAGACACAATTGTAGATACTGGAGTTAATCCTCACTGGAAAAGAAACAATCATACCCAATATCCACAGAAAGTTAACATATGGGCTGGTATTCTTAATAGTAGACCAGTTGGCTCTTTCTTCATTGAAGGCAATTTGACAGCACAAGTATACACAGTCATGCTTCGTGAACAAATTGTTCCAGCTATTCGAGACATAGCTGGTGGAAATATGGATGAAATTTATTTTCAACAGGATGGAGCTCCATCTCATTATGGGGTAATTGTCCGTCAATATTTGAATGAGGTATTTCAGGACAGATGGATAGGGCGATATTGAGTGGCCACCTCGGTCTCCGGACTTGACTCCACTGGACTTTTTTTGTGGGGTTACTTGAAAAGTAAAGTTTATGCACCAAGCCTCAAGATTTAGATGATTTAAGAGGGAGAATAACTCAAGAGATAGA